TTTTCTTTAAATGACTTTATCAACCCCTTATACTTATTTAGCTCCTCTGATCTACCTTTCCCTACATCATTAGCCCTACGTGCACCACAAAAACTGTATCTCTGTCAGTTATATCCTCCACCTGTGCCCCTGGGTAGCATAATCTGATTCCTTTCTCCCTATTTACTCCACAGGCTATTCTATCCACATGCCTTATCAAGGAACATACATAAGTATAACCTCCTTATCATCCACATCCTTCTCTGACCCTTTTGTCTTCCCTCCCTCCAATAGTTTTTCATCTGCCGAAGCCAAGGGCTGAAACTTGTTGCTCAATATTATCATTACAGTATACAGTATGTCAGTTACTCCTTACGACCATTGATGATATGAACTGTTAATTGTGGTAACTTTCTCTGTGATATTTAGCATTTGTGGTCATGTTTATGAATAAAGGGTTATATTTTCTGAAATACTACTATTGTAATAACATTCTACCCAGTTGCGTGTCTCAGATTTAAAAACTAATTACCAGTAAACTACAGATGTTGGTAAGCTATACAACATTGATGCCATGTAGACGTTAAGATACTTTCTACCTTAAGTGAAACAATCGTTGACCTCCAGGAAAACATTTCCCAAGTTACAGATTGTAGCTGAACAAATAAGATTAGGAAAAAACTTAAAATTAACAAGTTTTAATTAATGCTATTTTTAAAATCATGAGTATTTTCTATTTATTCATTTTCACGTTTATTATAATGTTTGTGATTTTTAGGCACCGACATCCCAATACAGAAGCTGTGTGATTTAAAAGGAAATGGAAAAGTTTGCATCATTGGAACACTTTTCAAGCACATGGAGTTACAACCCAGTATTTTACGAGAAATAAGCGAAGAGGTAATTAATTAATTTTGATTAATTAATTAATTAATTTTTTAAGTGCAAAACTAGCTAGTGTGTGTGTGTGTATGTAGATTGTAGAGACATATTTAGCAACATTGTTCAAGAATAGAATTTCTGCAGAAATCTTGTTGGAAAAATTGTTTAGTTCACAAAGAAAAAAATTCATGATACAAATTCTTAAGATTTCTTGTATTTTGTAAATTCTGGTTTGGTGTTTGTTTAACAAAGTGCCGCTGGAAAGATCCATTGCTCTGGCATAGCCAAGATGATGTTTGTTACTTGTCAGTAAGAGACACTGGATATGCAAGACAAGCTTTCAATAAATAACTTTATTAAGCTTTAAGGCCTTTAAAAGTTTTTAGTGTATTATATAATAAACTTTGTAGATAATTACCGTGTATATATTCATTGTTTCTGGAACCATCTATTTATTCATTTCAAAGTAACTATTCTCATAATTATGGTGTTTTTGTTATGACAACCCATCATCTTGTTTTATAAATAAATAACCCAATGTCCATTTTCTTCTGCAACATTTTGTGTGTCTAATAAAATTAAGTAAAAAATATATATTTAGGTTTAAAATATTTTATGAATGTACAATGCTTTATTTGCACAAACATTTGGAAGTTATAAAAAAAATGTAATAAAAGGTTTAGCTAAGTTTTATGCTGAACCTTTCAGTTTTTTGTATTGGCATTGTTGGTTTTCACGTGTCATTCTTATCTTTTTTCTACAAATACATCACCTTATATTTGTTTGTGTAACTGCATGTTTGTATAATTTATAGTACTAATAACATCATAAAATTATAGTACATTATGGAATATGTTTTAAGTCAGGTTGAAAGAAATGCTCTCGCATTTTAATACATCTATAATGACACTAACCTCGAAAATGAAAGGAACAACATATTAACAATTAACTGAATTTCCTCTTGAGGAATATAACTGTATCTGATACTGGTTTGATCATGTCTCTTATTTTTGTGGTTATTCTGGAGTTCTAGAGATTGCAATTGACAGATGATGTTCTTTGGGCTTTATACATGTATGTTGCATCCTTCCGTGGAGAATTGGAGTTTTAATTTACATTGACTGCATCTCTGTGGAGCAATGATATTTTTCGTGTACGTTGACTAAACTTTCCTGGGTGCTATGTGATCAGTTGTGTTGTTTTATTTCATTATAAAATTATCTACATATATAACATGGAAGTTAATATCTTGAAAAATTGTGAAGACCAACTAAGTGATTTATAACAGTCAGGAGTGAGTGATATGTTGTCTAGCACAGTTGTGTTTATTCTTTATATGAATGGCTGATTTTAGTTATGGAGAATATGTACAGATAGTTCATTAGAACTAAAGCATTTATGGCCTTCTCTGTTATGCATTCTTTTTATATGTAAGTGTACATGTACAAATATGTGGCTGAAATATGATAGATTGTCCTATGAAGTCTAGTGAATAAACTATCACGTTGCAGTAATACCTCCATCACTTGTATATTACATTAATTGCTCTTTAACTTAGTAATTTATTTACATAACACTCACGATCATTAGGAATCACCATATTGCATAATTTTATGTTTAAAAGTCTGTCACAACATTCGGTTTAAAGAACTGACCAAAAAATGGAGTAAAATTACTAATTTTCCATCTTTAGTAGTAATTAGTGGGATTAATTGCAATATTGGTGAATATTTGTCTTTAATTTGTTTAATAAGACTCGTACATTATAAAGGAAAGACAAATATCATCAATACCAGGATCCCTAATAATGTACGAGTCTTATTAAACAAATTAAAGACAAATATCACCAATACCAGGATAATTTGTTTAATAAGACTCGTACATTATTAGGGATCCTGGTATTGGTGATACTTGTCTTTAATTTGTTTAATAAGACTCGTACATTGTTAGGGATCCTGGTCACATGAGCAGCTTGGTGCATAGATTATTGAGAAAAATGTGTTTATGAATGAGACGGTACTTTATGTGGATCGTAGCTGTAATTTTAGGGATAAATTAATGTCTTCAGTAGATCATTGAAGCAAATTAACCCATCTAATCTATGTTTGAAAATATTATTCATGATCACACTGTAAATTATTAAAATTAGTCAAACTTTTTTTAATGCCATGCTTTTTATTTTAATGTAAAAAAAGCTTTTGCTTTTGCATACATCTTTTCCTGTAATATTTTTGTTTAATATTTATGAATTTATCATTTCCAGCTTTTGATATGAATCTTTTAGAAAATCCTTTTAAATTAGTATGAGTTAGTATTTTAGTTTTATATAAAATTATGTTATCATGTATTAAATATGTTCTTTTTCTTTTCTATGTAGCATAACTTAATGCCCCAGCCACTGAGGATAAGATATACAGATGACAGTGATGAAATTATCTTGGAAGATGATTTGCAACGGGTAGTACTGAATGGAAATATTAATGTTCACTCTCTTGTAACAGGTTTGTAAATTTCTTTTTGCCACTTTTACATTTTTATTCAAACCTATTCAATTCTGTTTTTCAACTTTGCCAAAGTTCATGCTTTAAGAAATAGTGTAACAACAATAAAGTTTTGACTTTAAAACTAAACATTTATGGAAAGTTTTACGTTACTAATCGAACAGTTACAGACATGTGAAAAATTAAAGGAGAACCATGCAAAATATTCTATAATTATGTCTGAAGATTATGTAATGAAAAATAATCTAACAAATCTTTTACTCAACACTAAAAACAATCAAAACATTAATAACTGTATCCACTACAACTTCCACAAGTGAAACAGAATATTCTTAGAATTCTAAAGTACTACACCAATAAGTAAGCTAGGGTAGAGAGTGAATTATTACACAGGCCTGTGATGGTTTTATTGTTTTGAAATTTTTACGTTCTACAGTAATTCCTGTACACTGAATCTGAAAACGATATCCATTTTTTTCCATCACGTACAGACTTTTCACTAAACGTCATAATGCAATACATAAAAGAAAGACCACAACACGTAGTTTTGAGACCAAAAGACGTAGATTTCACAAAAACAATCAGAAAGAATGAGGATGCATATTCGTTTGACATCAGTGTTTTTCCCTTTTTTTAGTTTTTGTGTTTTTGTTAACAAACATAATAATAAAATCTTCATTTTGGTAAACAAAATAATTTGATCTAAGTAAGAGTTTTTTTTTCTTTCCGATTTGTAAGAAATCCTTACAACAAATGATAGAAAAAAATGATTATTATTTTTGAAATCTGTTATTAAAACCAAAACAACTTTTATGAAGTTTAAATTCACAGGCCTGTGAATTATTTTGTTATTTTATTTTTATGTTATTTTTATTGAGTGTGTTGAGTTTGTTTGTCAGTAAATAAGCAATCTGTACATGATTTACTCTATCTGTTACTGTCAGCCAATTAGCTGTGAATATTGAGTTTTTATTTCAGTGAAGAAATTAGCAAGTGAATTTTCTGTTAGAAGTTCAGCTTATCAATGAATGTTGTTTATACTAAATGTGGAACTTGAAGAAATAAAACATTTTTGTTATTATTTAGTGGACTGAACTTTGCATTATTGTTTTTACCAAAATAGCAAAAACGAGTATATAACTACAAGTTTCAATAGCTTGATGTTTTCACAGGTATCATTGCTGCTGTTCTTGGAGAAGAAGAAGAAGGTGGGAAGTTCAGAGTAGAAGATTTATGTTTTTCATCTATGCCAGAACAGATTCAACGTCCTTTATTAGAAGAAAACAAGTTAGTATAATTCATAAATTTCTTTTTTAAATGTCTGGAAATGAAAGTTACATGTAAAATTTCTTTGATGCTGAAAAAATGCAAATCAGCAAGTCTTATTTTGTAATTAAAAACCTACTTAAAGACATTAATTACTTACATGAAGATAGTTTTATAATCACTGATGAATAGTTTATGAATTTTGAAAATAATTTTCTGACCTTTTTTACCCTTTATTTATAGCAAAGATTTTATTACAAACCTTTTCAAAGAAAACTTTTGATATCCTTTTGTATATAGACTATTATATGTTTTCTGTAAGAAACTATTAAATTTAAGAACTGTCAACTGTAATGCTTGTCATTCAACTGGTTAATATCCTATTCATTGTTTTTTTATGCTATTATATATGTTCACTTAATTATACACTCATCAGCTAAACAACAAGTAATCGTAAACATAAGAATTAATACCTGATCATTTAGTCTGATTCCAATGTTTTTATCAGGATTAATAGGCTCATGTTAGAAGAGGAAAAGCCTCTTCATCTCTCTCTCTACACATGATTTTCAGTTCAATAATAAATAAAAATTATGTTTGAATAATTTAGAAACATGGGTTAACTGAATGTATTGGAAAAGTAATGTTGATTATAATTCTGAATTTTCAAAGTGTATCTTTACGGAATGTAGCAAGTTTTTAGTCAACAGTACAAGTATGTTGTGTCCAATATATCAAATGTGTTGTTTCTTTTCAGTAACCCTGTATATTGTATCTGGTATTTTCTATAACCTAATATAACTTGTTATGAAATCATTAGTGTAGGGTTACATGAGATGTTGATAACTCTGACATTAAATTCTTTATACCATGTCGGTAAAGGTTGGGGCACACTTTAAGGTTGATAGGATTTCCTTAATACTACAAATTATTCTACAATTGCTACCGTTGTATGTGAGATTACCACTATTTTGCTTTTTTTTCTTCTGTTTATGCTTGGACAGAAGTGTCTAAAACTCGATAAAAATGAGTTAATACTTAAAGATCATACAGAAACCTATAAACACCTAAGTAAAAACTGAATACATTACATTATCATTAGAAATTACAGTTCTCAGTTTATCACTTTAAAATCAATTCATACTTAATTGAATCTCTAAATTGGAAGACTTTTGCTTGTTTGTTATTTTCATAATTACATTTTTGATAATTTTTAATGAAAAGTTTTATGTCCTTTAGATTTGAAAGACATTGAGTGATTTTATTAGTCAGATATTAAACCAATGAAAAGTAATGTTCTCAATGACATAATTATGAATTCAGTTTTACTTTAGTAATTGTAGTTTTGAATAACAACTAAAGAAAATTCACTTGTCCACTAACTTTAGCAGATTCAAGACATTATTGAAACCTATCAGACAGTTTCATCGGGATATAAGCATGTTTCCTTAAGCTACACTGTATTTCAAGGCTTTTAGTTTGCATGATATTAAATGTATTTCCAATATTTTCAGATTTGTTCTCTTAGTTTCTGGCCTTGGACTGACCCAAAATGCAGAAGTTCCTTTTCCACTTCAGTTAATGGTTGACTTCATCATTGGATCTTTGGGTGAGGAGTCGGAGCAGATGTTGGCATCTGAAGTTAGTCGGATCATCATAGCAGGAAATTCTTTAAATGAAAGTACAAAGACGAAAGGGTATTATTCAAAGGTACATCACTTGCTAAAAGTAATACGTTATGTACGTTTCTATAAATGGATCTTTATCGAGCATTCTTGATAGACATTGTTTTAATGATTTCATGGTATTAAAAGTACTAAACATTTTGTAATGTGAATTACTCCTAACATTTTAAGTTTCGTTTACTTTTCAAACAAAGTGTGGAAGTTAACTAAAGAAACTAACAAGTCAACTTAGATAATATTACAGCAACTTATTAATAATAGCATGTGATTAACTTCAACCAATCAGGTTTCATCATGAACAATACAACTTAATTCTCTTCTTATACTATTCTAGGTTTTTGTTTATTTGGTTATTTTTCTCCAAACTAATAAACTAACCAATGTGTGTTTATTTGTAGTAAGTTAGCAAAACCCATGCGTTTTTCAAAATAAGAATATTTTTTATATTATAATGTGTTCTAGTTTGTACTGTTAAAAAAATGCCTTGTTAGCAGCTCTTGTGGATTTAACCCTTAAGCTCAGTTTGAATAGCACTCACCAGCCAATCGAGAGGTCCTGGATCCTATTCCGCTTTTGGAAGATACAGATATGAGATTACCACACATACAAAAATCGTGTCCTTCTTAGCTGTTTATAGTACAAGTTTTCGAAGAAAGTTTAATAAATTTTTCTTCATAGCTTTTTCTAAAGCAGTTTTATATCTTTACCTTATACAGCAAGTAGTAAAATAAAAAAACAACATAACTTTCATTGTGGACCGGAATTTAAGTATTTTTTAGAACAAAATCATTAAAGTTTTAAGTTGTGTCTGCCAGAAATTGAAGAAAGTATTTGAAATTAATATATTGTTTAAACTTTTAAGAGAAGTACAAGTAAACAAATCAGCATTTGGTCTAGAAAGTTCAAAAGAATTACATCGGATTAGAAAATTATTAATCAATGTTAACAAACGTTAGGCTTCATCACTGAAAAACTGTTGCTTTTAAATTTACAGTTGTTACCAAACAACTCCGAGTTAAATTATTTGAAAAAATATTTATAAAAAAGAATAAAACTAATGTGTAACTGAAGAATGTGATTTGAGATGTGCTTTTTGTTAATTAATTATTCAATCAGTGTGTGTTTATTTGTACTAGGTTAGCAATGAATAATAAAAATACTTATTCATAACAGTCAACAAATACAGCTTTCGTAACATATCATTAGTAAATTCTCATGCTTAGTAAAATGTACAGTCTACAGAGTTTCACCAATTAAAAGCTACATGAAAACTTTAATTGGAGATATTTATAATTTATCAACTGTTTTCTTTTCAGGCAAAGTATTTGACAAGAAATACAAAGGCAGCCTCCATAGAGGCAGTGAAAATGCTCGACAATGTACTGCTTGAATTAGCTGTAAGTTTTTATTTAATAAAATTTATTTATGTTACTACATCATTCAATCGGGTGTCATTGTAACAAATACAATTTAATTCTCTGCTTCTATTATTAAAGGTTTTAATTTATTTGGTTATTAAAACCAAGAATGTAGTGAGATATTTGGAGTTATTATACTAATGTTTGATGATTTGGTTTTTTTCTGTGTTGTCAAACTTAACATTATATAGTAAAGCTTACTATAGTCTTAATTGTTATTATTATTACTAATATTCATATTTTGAGTTATTTTAACATCTTTGTTATGTAAGATACCTGTGTGCATGCATAAATTTTGAAAGATATCGTAACTTAAATTAATTACACCTTGTAGTGGCTCTTTTTTGTTGTTAAGCACAAAGCTACACAATGGGTTATCTGTCCTGTGCTCATCACAGGTGTCTAAACTTGCTTTTTAGCATTATAAACCTTCAGACTTACCAACCGGGGAGCAGCTTGTAGTGGAACTACTTGAGTGATAGCACTTAACTGCCATATTCTATTCTATTTGAACTAGTCACCACTTTTACCATTACATTTTGTTTTAATGATTTTTAACCACAGCATAGCAGCTCATATAACAGCTCTGCGTTTATTTGTTTTTTCAAGTACAAACTTTTAGCTCGTAGCTCTGTCATCTCTTGACCGATTTAAGATCTAATTAAGGTTTTGGACTCAGAAGGTCAAACCTTTTGGATTATTGTATTTGACCATGCCCAAGGTCTCACTGATTAATTCACTCTAATCCTGCCCAAAATTTGAGGATAGGCTGGTGTAGAGATCCTGATGAGTAATAAAACCAAATCGGGTATACGGAAGCCCCATAGTTGATATTGCTGGGGCACAAAAAATATAGCTAAGAAAAAAAAGGTCTCATAAATTAGTTTACTCTAATCCTGTCAAAAATAATTTCAAGTGCTGTAGCTTTGAGGATTCCCTCTTGTTTTACACTTAACAGAGTCCATTTTAACAAAACAAGAGATAAAAGACAATTGTTTTAGTTAGAAAGTATTATACTCCAACTTCCAGAAATAATGTTAATTATTTGACAATAATAACTCAACCTTCCTTCCATTTACAAATACTAAAATAATTCCTAACTTCCTTAAATGCATCAGTAGTATAGAAATCAAAAGCAATTTTCATGTGGATTAAGAAAATTTTACTTTTGAGGTTACCGAATATCTTGGCTTTATCTCATGTCATGCATCTTTGGTATTCGTAGAATTGTTTGTTAAAAGTATGTTCTCAGTTGAGGTAATAATAATAATAACAGTAAGAGTATGTATGATCATATATCCTTTACTTCATCTGGATTACCAAATAGAAATAACTTAAATTATAGTTTTTGGTTTCCATTTCCTCAGTTTTATTGAAATGTCATTTTGTCATAGGTTTGTGTAATAATCAGTGGGAAACTTGATTCATTTGATGCTTGAAAATCTGTAGAGTAAATTAGAGTAGGATTTCTAGAGTAATTGTTCAATAATCCAGAAATTTTGGTTTCAAGATTTTGCTGTGTTATTTCTCTCTTAAAGTATATAATAAGTTAATGCCTAACCGTGTTATTCTTACAAGATAAATAATAAATTAGTGCAAAACCATGTTATTCATCAAAAGTAGTTTAGTGTCTAAAAATGTTATTCCTCCTCTGAGGAAAATATATTAGTGCATAATCGTATTATTCGTCCAAGAAGACATAAAATTAGTGCCTTATTGTGGTATTTCTCATCTGACTAGTGATTAACAATGTCATTCGTCTACTGAGGCATAACCTTGTGTGGAACTAAAGTTGGAGTAGTTAAGCCTTTTTGTGTTACTATAGTTAGAATCATAAATTTATGTGTGGTACTAAAGTTGGAGTCATTTAAGCCTTTTTGTGTTACTATAGTTGGAGTCATTAGCTTTTTAGAGGTACTAAAGTTTGAATCATAAATTTATGTGTGGTACTAAAGTTGGAGTAGTTAAGCCTTTTTGTGTTACTATAGTTGGAGTCATTAGTTTTTAAGAGGTACTAAAGTTGGAGTCAGTTAAGTCTTTTTTGTGTTACTATAGTTGGAGTCATTAGCTTTGTAGAGGTACTAAAGTTGGAATCATAAATTTATGTGTGGAACTAAAGTTGGAGTCGTAAGCTTTCATAAACTTTTGAGTAGTAATGTAGTTAGAGTCAAAGAGTCGACCTTTCTAGTGGTACTAAAGTTGATAGTCAATACTGTTTATGCAGATTAATATCACTCTTAATGAATATGTTTTTCTATTATTTTTCATAAAGTTTCAATTGTTCCATTACCCTAGTGTATAGTTTTTTTTATTAATTTCCAAAAAATATGGCACCCCTAATGCTACACATGTTTTTTTTTTTGCTTTTCTTAACAAATCATTACCTAGTACCATTAAATGGTATTATGAATATTAAATAGAACCTAGTAAAAAAGTTTTTTATTTTCACAAAACTTTAAATTTCTGTATTTGAAATTTTTAATATTATCCATTGTTTATATTTAGTTTAAAATTCCATTTCTTACTGGTGTTAAAAGCTGCTTATATTTATTGTATGTTTTTTTTGTTGTTGTTGTTGTTCTAGGGTTCAGTAAATGTAGACATTATGCCTGGGGAAATGGATCCATCGAATCACCTTTTGCCCCAACAACCACTACATCATTGTCTCTTTCCTAAATCTGGAAGCTTATCGACAGTACACAGTGTGACGAATCCTTATTATTCCATTATTCAAGGTGTACGGTGAGAAAAAGAAATTTCATGCATTGATATGTTTTAAAGTTTGAATTCTGGTGTAGTTTTTATGTACGAAAATGTGTACAGACCTGTTTCATTTTTTTCCTGTCATAAAGTGTATTTTCTTATTTCACGTGTTTTAAGTACAGTTTTACTTGAACTTTTAAAACAACAAAAGATTTTTATGGTAAATTAATCTTTAACATGTTGCACTGTTACATTTAATATTTGTAGCTTACTTATTTGTACGTTTAAGTTTGTGAGGAAATAATAAAGTTTATTTTTTAGTTAATAATATCTCTAAAATGCTATAAATGATGTATTTTATGTGCTTGAATTTTTCTGCATGTTCTAAACATACACTAAATCTCATAACAATGTACAGTACATGTACTTCCCACCTCCAGGCTAAACATTTCTCAAAACCATCAGCATCTCATTTATTATTCAGGAAATCAGAATAATAAGGTATTAACCTCTAAATCATATTCCATTTATATTTTTATAATTAGAAAATTACCCCCAACTATGTTTAATGTTCTGTCTTTGGTTTCAACAAAATCACGCTTTCACTTATATTTGTAAAGTACTTACTCAGTAGTGACTTTATAGTAAGAGTGAGTTGGCCCAGTGGCTGATCTCTGAATTTCAGAGCTGGTGAGCCAAGATTAAAATCTGTGCAACACCATAAAATACTTCTCACATTTTAAAGTGTTTGTGCATTAGAAGAATCACAGTTATTCCCTTAGTGTGAATGGTAGATGCCAGTCATAGGGTGCTGTTGCCTGGCTGCCTTCACTCTGGTCAGTAGTTTAAAGTCAAGGAGACGGCAGCAAATAGTAGGGATGCACAGTACACGGCCAGGTACCCGGCCTGGGGCCAGTATTGGGCTACCTGGTAATCCTTGGCTCCAGCTGAGTGTCGAAGCTAGGCATCTAAACTCTAATCTTTGTGGCAACTAATGTGATACTGAAAGTTTCAGTCAACAATTGGTTTAGTTATTAAAAAAAAAAATGTGTTTCAAGCAACAAAAACTGACCGCCCACTTTTGGGGGGCAAGGGAAGAAATCCGGCCCCGGTTGACAAGCGCCTCCGGCCGAACTTTAGTGACCAGATACCCGGACCCGCTATTTGGCCAAAGTGTATCTGCATTACAAACAACGCTCAAAATAAAGTTTTGGAAAGGTTACTTGTTAATGTAATTTAAGAAGGTAGGTTGCCAAAGATGAAGAAAAGTATGCAAAGTTTTTAGACCGATGTTTCGAACAACAGCTAAGTCTGAAATTAGTCTTGTTTCACTATTTTAGTGCGGTGGCTCCTGAATTTCTATATGTCTCTGTATTTATATTTTGTATTTAGGGCAAAACTACTATGGGTAGTAAAATTTGAAGTATGTTTATTTTATCACCGATACAACTACACTATCCTCCAATAAAAAAAGAATTAGCCAGATCCAGTAATAGTATTTTATTGAACACACACACACACACACAAAAAACAACAACAATTCCATGACTAAATAAATTACATCAGTATGATGTAATTTATGACCTTTGTAATGTATGTAATGTAATGTATGACCTTTCAAACTTTTATATTGTTCTTACCAAGTGTGTAGATTCACACAAAATCACTGTATTGTTACATTTGCCATGGGGGGTTTTCAATCAACATCATTAAAGTCAACAGTATTATGAGCAATCTTAGCTTATTAGAGGGCAGAGTATAGTAGAAAAATATACATAATTTACATTTTTATTTGATTAAATATTTTAAAATAATAATCATACATATAACTGTAAAAAATGTTTGGGTAATTACATTGTGTTATCTAGTTGTAATATTCTGATACATAAAGATACCTTGAAAATGTGCATCCGTATGAATCTCTGTTTTGCATATAAACACACGAGCTATTTTTTCTTGGTACTGATATTAAAAAGCAATTTTTTAACATTTTCAAACTTCAAAAGAACAATTTTGCTTCAGGATAGGAGTTTTAGTTTATAAGTTTTAGTTGTTTTTTTTCCTGCTAGGTGCCGCCATCTTCGAAAACACAGGCCTGCGAATTTAAACTTTATAAAAGTTGTTTTGGTTTTGTTAACTGATTTTCCATAATTCAGCTATGCAGATTTCAAAAAAAAATTTTTTTTTCTATCACGTTAGGA